ACTCCCTAATGCCTCAGCAACCAAGGATGGTGCAGTGCTAGGTGTTTGTGTGCAAAAGTAAGACAAAATCACACTTTAGGTCACAAAAACACACACAAAAGTGTAAAGAGAGGGAGATATAGAGATAGAGAGATACAAATATTCTAGCCCTAAAATCAGAACCCCTGAGAAGGGAGGAGGGCCTCCCCTCTTATAGAAATCCAATTTGTAAAGCTTCTTGGAGAAACTAAACAAGAGGCAAATCTCTCCATACACGTATATGGAGGGGGTCAATAGTGGGTGCCAGCTGGCACAAAATATCTACATAAAGCAGATGAACATGGTTCGGCCAGCCAAAATGGCCAATCGACCAACACCATGGCCGGTCGACCAAATAAAGTGTCAATCGGCCAAAACTTTTGGCCGGTGACAAGAAAACATGGCCGGTGACCTCAAGCCTTGGCCGATGGGGTATGGGGATGGTGGACAAGCCATCCTCTTCCATCAGAAGCAAAACACAAGTGTTTGGTCCACAACCAAGCACAAAACAAACAAGTCGAGAAATCTTGAGGCAAGGTGCGCGACCAAGACCTCTGGGAACTCAAAACGAACACGAGCAGGGATAAGCATCGAGTGTTCAAACGATGACGTCCAAGTCTTGAGGACGGTCAAAAATGGGGTGTCTACAGGGGGTCGCTCAGGTCAGTCTAGAGGCCGAGGGCCTAATGCCCGAGCTCATCATTCTGATATAGTTGAGCCACAGTCCCTTGCTCCGGTTGTTTCCTCTACTGATATATCTGGGCTTTCTACTTCCGAGTTGGAGGTTGCTCTTCGCCACTTGCTAGACCGTCGAGCCTCTAGTTCATCTTCAGGTAACTTTGCTTCTTCTATAAGTGCTTTTCTATCTCATCAAACGTTGCCTTGGATTATCGATTCTGGTGCTTCCGACCATATGTCTGGGTCTTCTGATTTGTTCTCCACATATACCCCTTCTTTAAGGCAGGATAAAGTTTGAATTGCTGATGGTACCATTTCTTCTGTGTCCGGGAAAGGTGTAATTCATGCCACTGCTTTCCTTCATTTGTCTTATGTACTACATGTTCCCGATTTTAGTGTTAATCTTTTATCTTTGAGTCGTATTACTCAGGACTTGAATTGTAGTGTAACCTTTTTCCCTGATCATTGTCTGTTTCAGGACCTTATCACGAGGAAGATGATTGGTAGTGGTAGAAACGCGAATGGTCTCTATATCCTGGATCGACAAGCGGGCTCATTCATCTACTCAGTTACCTTCTACCAAGGAAGACCTATGGCTGTGGCACCATCGTCTTGGGCATACATCTTTTTTGTTACTTAAGCATCTTTTTCCTTCTATTTTTTTGAAAAATAATGTTTTTTAGTTTCACTGTGAGTCGTGTCAACTTGGAAAACAACACAGAGCTTCTTTTGCTCCTTTTATTAATAAAAGTTTAGTTCCTTTTTCATTGATTCATTTTGATGTATGGGGTCCCTCTCGTTTTGTGTCTTTAAAGGGTCACCGATGGTTTGTCACCTTTATTGATGATTGTTCTAGGACTACCTAGGTGTATCTTATCAAGGACAAATATAAAGTTTTTTCTGTGTTTCAAAATTTTCATAAAATGATTTGCACTCAGTTTGGAGCGGTTGTCAAAATCCTGTGCTCTGATAATGGGGGGGAATACATTGACTCTGGCCTTGCCAGCTATTTTATCACTCATGGTATTATTCACCAAACTTCTTGTACCAATACTCCTCAATAGAATGGTGTTGTAGAGCATAAAAATCGCCATCTTCTTGATATTGCGCGTTGTCTATCTTTTGAAATGCGTGTCCCTAGATCATATTGGGGGGAAGTTGTTCTCACTGCAGCCTTCCTCATCAATCGTTTGCCTACCCAAGTTCTCTACAAACACACTCCTCTTCAGGTTTTGTTAGGGTCCCACTCGTCTGGTTTCTCCATTCCTCCCAAAACCTTTGGGTGTGTGTGCTTTGTTCATAACCACTCTCCTACCCGTGGTAAGTTGGATCCTAGGTCTCTTCGGTGTGTCTTCCTAGGTTACTCTGCCACAAAAAGGGCTACAAGTGTTATCATCCCTCTTCTTGGAAATGGTTTGTCTCAATGAATGTGTCTTTCTTTGAGTCTCAGTCCTACTTCCTGTCCTCCTCGGTGTCCTAGTCATCCCTTAAGGGGAAGCTTTGGTGTGAAGAAATTCCTGTGCCACTACCATCAGTGATTAAGCAAGTTGAGAATGTTAATGGTGACCCAGCTATTGAGAATGTTGAGCCTGAATCCACAATGAAAGAGGGAAAAGTTTATGTCAAGGACAAGGATAGAAAACAAGTTACTTGGGTACAAGAGACCAATTCGGATTCTTCACTGCTATCTTCTTCTCTTGATGAGTGTCCAGAATCCTCTTCTTCTGATAAAACTCCAGGTAACTCTATTCTTTCTGATCTAGATATTCCTATTGCTAAAAGGAAGGGGGTTAGGTGTTATACTCACCATCCTATTTCTCATTTTGTCTCATACACTAATCTGTCTTCTTCCTATAAAGTTTTCTATCTAAAGTTTCTTCTGTGAGTCTTCCTTCTAATTTTTAGAATGCTCTTTATACTCCTGAATGGAAGCATGCCATGATGAAGGAGATGAGAGCCCTAGCTAAAAATGGCACTTGGGAATTGGCTGAGTTACCTAAGGGCAAACGACCTGTTGGATGTAAGTGGGTGTATACAGTGAAGCACAAATCCGATGGTTCAATTGAACGTTACTAGGCAAGATTGGTGGCCAAGGGCTTTACACAAACTTATGGAGTAGACTACGAGGAGACATTTGCTCCTGTTGCTAAGATGAACTCTGTCAGAGTCCTTCTCTCACTTGCCTCTAATCTCGACTGGCCGCTCCATCAATTTGATGTGAAGAATGCCTTCCTTCATGGAGATTTGGAAGAGGAAGTGTACATGGACATTCCCCCAGGCTTTGAGGATGTTAAAACCAAAGGAAAAGTATGCCGACTACGCAAGTCACTTTATGGACTCAAACAGCCGCCTAGGGCTTGGTTTGAGAGGTTTACTCAGGCCATGCTGCGATATGGTTTCAAACAGAGTCAAGCTGATCATACTTTATTTGTGAAACACTCCTCACATGGTAAGACGACAACTCTTATTGTTTATGTGGATGATATTGTACTCACAGGGGATGATGTTGAGGAGATTCCTCGGTTAAAGAAGTATTTGGCCAATGAGTTTGAAATCAAAGACCTGGGCAGCTTGAAGTACTTTCTCGGTATTGAAGTTGCTCGGTCCAAAGATGGCATCTTCATATGTCAAAGAAAGTATGTGCTTGATTTGCTACAAGAAACTGGGATACTTGGAAGTAAAGCCTGTGATACACCACTAGAGCTTGGAATGAAGCTTAGTGAGGATCAAGGAGGCGAGCTTGTAGACAGGGGAGATATCAACGGCTAGTGGGTAAGCTTATCTACTTATCCCATTCACGTCCATTGTTATCGCAGTGAGTATGGTTAGTCAGTTTATGCATGCTCCGCGTGCAATTCATTTAGAGGCAGTTATGCGGATTATGAGGTACTTGAAGTCTTCTTCCGGGAAAGGGTCTCTATTTCTCTAAACATGGTCATCTTAGTGTGGAGGCATATGCAGATGTCGATTGGGCTGGATCAGTCACTGATAGAAGGTCAACCTCTGGCTATTGTACCTTTGTTGGAAGAAATCTAGTTACTTGGAGAAGCAAGAAACATAATGTAGTTGTTCAATCTAGTGCAGAGGCTGAATTTAGAGCTATGGCTCAAGGTGTATGTGAGCTATTATGGATTAGACTACTTTTGAGGGATTTGGGGATTCATCAGACAGATTCTATACGGCTATACTGTGACAATACGATGGCCATTAATATAGCTCACAATCCAGTTCAGCATGACCGGACCAAGCATGTGGAGATTGATGGACATTTTATCAAGGAAAAGTTCACTAGTGGCACTATATGTACTCCATTCGTGAGGTCTGGGGACCAATTGGCTGATGTTCTCACCAAAGGATTAGGGAATAAACCATTCCGTGACATTCTTAACAAGCTGGGCATGAGAGATATCTTTGCACCAGCTTGAGGAGGAGTGTTAGAATATTCCTTATTTTATTTTGATGTATATTCAGTATTCTTATTTGATGCCTTAGGGCACTCCTGTAATTATGGTGATGATTTAATATAAAAGGGGATGAGATACCACTCATACCTCTAATTTTCTCTTCTCAAAATTGACAAAAAGTATAAGAGCCCTAGCTTAGTTCTCCAATATTTGTGAAGAATGTTGGGTTAAAATCCCAAAGAGATCAAGAGTTTTAAGAGATTTGGTGTAGGAAATATAGAGAGAAGGAAGAGAAAAGGGTTTTTAGAGAGAGAGAGAGACATGCCAAAAGTGAGATACACTCAGCACAAAGAGGAGAAAAAGATAATTTTCAAACTCCACCTTCCATTGCACGTGCGGAACCCATGCTCGCACGTGCGACCTTCATCCTTGCACATGCGGCCCTTTCCTCCGCACTTCCACTCCCGCACCTGCATATGTTGTAGTGTGTTCTCCAACCCTTTCCTGTTTTTCACACGTGTGGCCTCACCTCCCACACGTGCGGTCTGAGGCCTCGCTCGGCTCAACTCCAGACACTCCGGACCCAACCTTGCACCTTCCAAAATATGAGAAACTCGACATGAAAATAAATGAAAGTAAGGATTTAAGATAAGCTTTCAAATACGACAAAACGAAACGTTAACAAGGCTCCTAGTTAAACCCAACACTCTAATAAGGCAAACCCAAAGTTAAACAAAGAAGAACGAGGCGAATAATACACCCATCGATTGGGCTGGATCAGTCACTGATAGAAGGTCAACCTCTGGCTATTGTACCTTTGTTGGAAGAAATCTAGTTACTTGGAGAAGCAAGAAACATAATGTAGTTGTTCAATCTAGTGCAGAGGCTGAATTTAGAGCTATGGCTCAAGGTGTATGTGAGCTATTATGGATTAGACTACTTTTGAGGGATTTGGGGATTCATCAGACAGATTCTATACGGCTATACTGTGACAATACGATGGCCATTAATATAGCTCACAATCCAGTTCAGCATGACCGGACCAAGCATGTGGAGATTGATGGACATTTTATCAAGGAAAAGTTCACTAGTGGCACTATATGTACTCCATTCGTGAGGTCTGGGGACCAATTGGCTGATGTTCTCACCAAAGGATTAGGGAATAAACCATTCCGTGACATTCTTAACAAGCTGGGCATGAGAGATATCTTTGCACCAACTTAAGGGGGAGTGTTAGAATGTGTTAGAATATTCCTTATTTTATTTTGATGTATATTCAATATTCTTATTTGATGTCTTAGGGCACTCCTGTAATTATGGTGATGATTTAATATAAAAGGGGATGAGATACCACCCATACCTCTAATTTTCTCTTCTCAAAATTGACAAAAAGTATAAGAGCCCTAGCTTAGCTCTCCAATATTTGTGAAGAATGTTGGGTTAAAATCCCAATGGATTGCAAGAGATCAAGAGTTTTAAGAGATTTGGTGTAGGAAATGTAGAGAGAAGGAAGAGAAAAGGGTTTTTAGAGAGAGAGAGAGATATATCAAAAGTGAGATACACTCAGCACAAAGAGGAGAAAAAGAGAATTTTCAAACTCCACCTTCCACTGCATGTGCGGCACCCATGCCCGCACGTGCGGGGCGTGCCTTCCGCACGTGCGACCTTCATCCTTGCACATGCGGCCCTTTCCTCTGCACTTCCACTCCCGCAGCTGCATATATTGTAGTGTGTTCTCCAACCCTCCCTTGTTTTTCACACGTACGGCCTCACCTTCCACACGTGCGGTCTGAGGCCCCGCACGTGCGACCCTAGTCCTCCAACCCAGAAATTTCTCGGCTCAACTCCAGACACTCCGGACCCAACCTTGCACCTTCCGAAATATGAGAAACTCGACATGAAAATAAATGAAAGTAAGGATTTAAGATAAGCTTTCAAATACGACAAAACGAAACGTTAACAAGGCTCCCGGTTAAACCCAACACTCTAATAAGGCAAACCCAAAGTTAAACAAAGAAGAACGAGGCGAATAATACACCCAGTCATCACAGGTTCTACTTTGAAACAGTTGATTCTTGGTTGGTTGCTTGCAAATAATGTTGTTTACAATGTTTTTTGTCCACTGCCAAAACCAAAACTGAGGTAAAAGATGCTATATAATCATGCTTTTGCGCAATGAATTGGGGCTTGGGGTCATTTTGGCAGGATTCAAAAAGTCAATTTAGGTACTTCAAGTTGTACTGCCATTTGTAGATTGCAATATTATAAAATTGAAAATGCTCTTTCTGTTTGTTCCTCTCTTTTTTTATGTCATTTTGTTATTTTGCCCTTAATTGATTCAAATCTCAATTTTTTTTTTTTTTTTTTTTTTTTTTTTTTTTTTGTGATTGCAACTATGACAACAAATATCTAAGATTGGTAAAGGTTTTTGGTAATTTGAGAGGGAAAGTTTAGCCGTAGATCTATAAGCGTGTAATATGACGGTACCCGTTTGATCAAGGGGGTATCTACATCAAAAAACAAACCGAACAACAAAATCATAACTTTATTGAATCGTAAGTACATTTTAACCTATTATATCATAGATTTCTTGGTTAAATGTTAGAATATCGTTTGTTGAGGAAATTAAATTGTTACTTCTACATTGAATGGAAATAAGTATAACGTTAATCATGACAAAAAGAAAAGATAAATTAAACTTTTAGCACTGGATTTAAACCCCAAGTCCCCCCCTCCTATGACCCCAGTGAAAAAATGAAAAATTCCAAATCCTCGTACTCAACAGAGACTAGGAAATACGCAAATTACCATAATGAAGCCCTCTCGATTTTAAATCCTCCAACACTAATATCCAACCCTTCTGCTGCAGGCTGTGTTTGAACTTGAGTCTTCTGCTTTATCTTCACAATCACCATGGAACTCAACTCCTCATTGCACGAACAGAAAATGGGAAGGGAATTGTGAAACTTGTCTGCCAACAATGCTAACTACACACCCAGTTGTTTCTTCTTCTTTTCTTTTCTTTTTTTTTTCACTTTTTTTTTTCTAATTCTTCCACCCCTCCCAAACCCCCCACCCACAGATTCCTTTAAAAATTTGAGATCCGAACATTGCCTAATTAAACCCAAGGAAGAGCCTGCAATACTGCAGTGGATGAGCTTTTATCTTTTCTTCACCTTCTATCTACATTACAGAACAAACACAATGTGTGCACGTAGGAACACACTATATTCCAAAAATAAATATCAATTCAAACATAACAAAAATGGGTTTCCTATTTGTCATTCTTTTAAAAATTGTTCTGCCAAGGACAAGATTATTTGACTGTCATAATTGAATTTTTTATTTTTTATTTAAAAAAAAAAAAACAAAAAGAAAACATTTTCATTTAAATAACCAGTACAAAATAGTTTAAATTAAATGTAAATTTAACTTGAAATTGGTTACTTTGATCTTTCTGTTCAAACTTTTTTTTTTTTTTGCCCATTTGCTTAGTGCAAACCCACTTGAATGAGAATGCTTTAACTTATGAGGGAATTCCATGCAGGTGGGAGAAAAAGAAAAAAAAATTACCAACACGCCACAGCACACTTGCACCCTTATGTGTTCGTAATTTTTTTCCCTTCTCCCACCTACTTGTAGTTTTCCCTTAACTTATCTGCTACGTTGAATTGAGCAAACCAGAGATCATGAAAACTGGTAATATAACATTAAACATTTTCAACCTGGCTAACTCTTTGATTTTTAGAATATAGACTAATAGTGGTTCAAACTTCAAACCATGGCCAAGTCAATACAAAAGAATCCATCTATGCCAAGTCAACAAAACCAACTAATATTTGAACATACAAACTATAAACACATGCTTGTAAAAGTTAATCTCCGTCGCTTTTTCTTTGCAAATTTTTGTCATAGACTAGTAAAACACATTAGCTTATATAATCCAATCACCTAAATTTATATTTAAAGCAAAATGCCATTCAAAATACTATCTTTTTCATTTTAATGAACAAATGTGAGTCAAAACAAATTTATTTAAACTCTAAAATTAAGTATTTAAAATCTTTTCAAATATACTAAATTTCTTAGTTTGAATGCAGGAGTCTCAAAAGACTCCTCTCTATAAGATTTGGACTTGCAAACTTTACACTATAAAATGGTGCTACACAGCCACCTGAGTCAAATGCCATGATCAAAACATTTATGTAAAACAAATAGCAAATCGATTAGTTGTGTTTTTTTTAAACAAAAATTTATCTTTTTTTTGTGGGTACGTAGGTAGATATTAAAGGAGTAAAACTATCCAAATGATTAAATCAACCCAATCCATTGAAATTTTCTTATATCTAAGCAGGCTCCTTTTTTTAAGTTGAATTGTGTTGGATGTAGTCGAGGTAATCTGGTTTGGGTAATGGTGGGGGTATTGTCCGAGATGGTCTTGCTTATGCGCTATTGCTTGGGCAGTGTTTCAATACTGTGGCAGAAATGAAGCGTGGCTTTTTGGTATCGTCTATGTTTGAATCAGGATATTTGCATCAGATTGAAGTCCTCGAAAGTGTTTGTGGATTTCCTGATTGATACATTTGGTTCCCCTTGGTTCTTGATTTATGATATGGCTGTGATGCAGCAATTGTTATCTGGTATGCATTGTTCCGTGTCGGTTTGTTTTTAGGAGGCTAATGATAGCTGATGCTCTTGCTAATTGGGTTGTGATCATGAAGACTACATTTTTCAAAAAATTTCTAATCTTTTTTCTTTAGTTATAGTGGTGCAGTTAATTTGGATAGAATAGGGACTGCCTATGTTAGGCTTTCTCGATGCCCCACTTCATTTTTTGCTATAGTTTTTTTATGCTCTTTTTTAGAGGTTAGACAACAATGTCAGGGAAGCGTTGATGAATTAGCTTAAATAGTTGTCTGGTGTTATGCATGCAAGCTGTTTGCTAAATTGGTGGGCATCATTTTCAGTAAAGAGGGTTTGGATGGTCCAGCTATAGCTCTGTGATTGTGATATTTGGGTTTGCTTTTTTGTTGATTTTGTTGTGTCTTTTTTCCTTCTATTCTTTCCATTTGTTTTATTTTGTTGTAGAAAATGTCTCCACAGGAAATTACCCAAAAGTTTCTTTGTAATTTAGATTAAGATGACAAGAAGGTAGTGTGTTACATTATCTTTCTTCGACAAGGTTGTTCTTTTTTGTTATTTTTTTTCCCCTCATTTGAAGTTTGAGAACATGCCGTCACAATATGGACTCTAGAGATTAGTGCTTTTGCTTCTATTTTTTGTTTCTCCCCTGCAGTTTTGCTGCTTCTCGTTATTGGATTTTTTTTTTTTTTTTTAAAAAAAAAATACAAAAATTGGATAAATTACAAATACGTTCTTTGAAATTTGCTTAAATTACAAATTATTCTGTCTTTTAAGTTTATAATTACATAATAAATTATCAAATCAATTAATAATTTTATTGATGTGAAAAAAATATATTTCAATTAACAATTTAAACAATTTTATTATTGTATAAGAGAGTTTTTATAAATTTTATTTTTGTTAAAATAAAATCTTAAACCGTCTCATTCTTTTTTTGAGGGTGGAAAAGTATTTTATGGGATCATGATTTACCTTGTTTTGGGACTAAGGTTGATTGTGCAAAATGGGGAATCAATCGATCCTTTAGGAATGGATTCCACTTATAAATAACCCTTCAAGTGGCGAAGGTCTCTCTCGACACTTTTCCCATCTTAGTCTTGCTCACTTCATTGACAAACCCAAGCTTTGTTGGTGATTGAATTTGCTTGGACTTTTTTTTTTAAGATAGTTGAAGGTATATTCAAGGTATTCATGTGCCTGAAATGTCAAGTGAGGATAAACCAATATGGGGTTTTACCAATTCTGGGAAATAGACTGTCAAATCTGGATATTGGAAGGTTTAGAAAAACACAAAATCCGAATATCACCTAATATATCTAGAGATAACCCTATTTGGACTTGGATTTGAAGCTGACAATACCACTCAAAGGGTTCATTTTTCTTTGAAAATGTCTTTACAATATTCTACCGGTTAAAAGTGTTTTGAAAGCTCGTCATTTATTAGTGGATACAGCTTGTCCAAGATGCCTAACTGTCAAGGAAAATTTGGAGCATTTATTTTTTCAATCCCCAGAGTCACAACTGTTGGGTATACCTCCTTATTGGAGTGTGGGACTCAATTGATTTGTTAAAGAGTTTCAATTTGGCTTGGTTTAGGTATAATATATTTTTATATATTATATTTAAGGAGACCCAATCTAATTTGGTAACAATTAGGTTTGATTACAAAACCCTAGATTCACAATATAATTTTTGGGTGTATTATTTTTCCCATGTGATAGATCTAGCGGCAGCAACAAATTTGTTACGGCAACTGTGCTTAGTGGATAACTCTAACTTGTTGGGTTTTTCAATTAAGTACTGATTGTTGCTCTGGGTTTTTGATTGGGTCAATCAAGTATTGATGCCTTGGTTTGGTGCTCTACTTTGAAGCGGCTGATTCGTTTTTCGGTGTTGATTTGGTTCGTTATTTTAGATCTTCTACAACTCTGGTTCTGAAGATTTTGGTTCTTCTATTTGGTGAGGTCTTTCCTCTTTGTTTATTTGTGATTATTTGGAATTCACCTAGGGTGATTTTGTGAGACCATTAGTGTCTCGTTTGTAATCGTTTGGAACTTATTTGGTTGATAGTGGAATCGGATTTCGATCCCGTGGACGTACCTAACATTGAGGGAACCACGTAAAATTCTTGTGTTGCCTTTGATTTAATTTTTTCGCATTAATTTTTATTCCCATTAATTGATTTACTTGTGGGGAATCACATCGATTTTCCCTAACAACAACAACGAGCTTGGAGTGGTAGCTCATTAGGTGTTGATTTTTTTGTGGGCGCTCACTATCCTTTCTTACATGGTTGGGTAGATGGAAACATGAGGTTTCAGATGATGATACTCTTCTAAACAACTCATTGCTCTTTTGTGGGCAGTATGGAATCAGGGACTCTTTCGTGGGCAATATGGGAATCATGGCCGGCCTTAAGATTTTCGAGGCTCAAGACAGTTTTAAAATTGGAGCCAAAAAAATTATTTATTTGAATTTTTTACTTTAAAAATGTATAATATAAATTCAAAATTAATGTAATGCGGGACATACTTAGAATGAATGAGATCTATAAATATATATATTTTTTTGATTTGGTCTTTAAGAGAGAAACATTTTTTAAAATCAAATTTAGAATTTATCATATTTAAGTTTGATGAAAATTTAAAAACATATTGAAGATAATTTTTTTTCCTTGAAATTTGATGAAAAGAAAAATTTGGGATATGACCAGGATTTTTAAAAATATTTTTATGAAAATTTGATGAAAGGATTAAAGTAATTGATATCAATCAAATGTTTTATTCAAATCTATAATCAAATTAAGTCAGGAAAAAAATAAAGAGTTGGGATACTCTAAAAATCTTTAATCTGGATTGTTCACAATGGAGCTTAGTGCTTTTGCTTCTGCTTTTGTTTCACACCTGCAGATTCTCATTGTTGTTGTTCGTTGATTGTAAGTGTGCCATAGGTGAAGGAGGTGTTTATCTCCTCTTTCACAATATTGATTGTGATATCTAACTCTGTATTTTGTTTCAATAAATTTGATTGTTGTCTGTGTAAATATTAAATCAAAATTGAAATTTTGTGGAATGATTCTGCCAACTTATGCAAGGAACTGCACATTGATGCCTTGCTAAAAAGGCCTCTTTCATTGCTCTTTTCTACAACAGGTTTTGGCTGAAGCAAGTTACAACACTTGCATGTCAAAGAAACTAGGAGTTCCGACAATTCCCATTCTATACAACTGACTGATACCAACGATGAAGGTGGTCATGCCAAAACGAAAGCACAAATTCAAATTGCTATGCATGACCTGAAGTTCCTTGACAGATTAGTGATGAGAGAGAGAGAGAGAGATTCCTACTTGTATTTATATGAATATACAGGGGTTGGGTTGTTTGTAACTAAAATATGACATGAATGTTAATCTTCTCATCTAATCTTCGAAGGCAGTTCTTTATGTTGAGGATCGGGGGCACACCAGGGAACTCAAACAAGCAATAACACACAAGTTTTAACGTGGTTCGGCAAGTCGCCTACGTCCACGGGCAGCGGATTCACTATATTGAACAAAATGGTGAATTACAACACTCTCTGTAATTCTCTCTCTCTTTGCTCTCAACTCACACCTCTCAGCTCCACATCTGATATCTATATCCTCTCCCTCCCGTCTCTATTTATACACAAAGGAGTAGGTGGGAGAGCCCTCATTCTTTGACTTTTGACATGGTTGGTGGCCTTCCATTGTTGACATGAGGATCACCCCTTTCACATGGGGTGACCTCCAGAATCTGTAGCCAATTCAACAAATCTCCACCTTGGCGAGGATTCTCTTATCCAACATAGTGATCGATCAACACTGCCATGCACCCGAAGGTGCTCAGTTCCGAGAGATGTTGACCAAGTCCAAACAATGTTGGAACCTGAACTTAGATGATGAAATCATGAAAATTAACCATTTTTTGTATCGCTAACCTACCAGGGGCTTTTGATGAAGAAGAATCTGCAGCAAGAGCATATGATTTAGCTGCAATCAAATATTGGGGTCCTACAACTTTTACAAATTTCCCGGTATGTATGCCATACATGAATCCAATACTTCCATATATTTTTGACAGGCCGATGGCAAACACAATGTAATATATTCTTATTATGAAAAACCCACAATTTCTTTTTCATCAGGTGCCTGAGTATGAGAAAGAGATTGAGATAATGCAGAATTTAACAAAAGAGGAGTACTTGGCGTCGTTGAGAAGGTACTTAAAGATTAGAATTAATTACTACCTAATTTACTCCATAGTACAAGCTTGATTTCATTTAACCTAAACTCATTTTATTTTATTTTATTTTCTGCTTAATATAGAAGAAGCAGTGGTTTCTCAAGAGGTGTATCCAAGTACAGAGGAGTCGCGAGGTAAGTGAAAGTTTTATCATCGCCTGCCTTCACTGTCTGATCATTTCTCCCCTTGACTAAACCATCAAAGGTTGAATACTAAGGCTGCATTTTTTGATGAAATTCAGGCACCATCACAATGGTAGATGGGAAGCTAGGATTGGGAGGGTGTTTGGAAACAAATATCTCTACCTTGGCACTTACAGTGAGTTTCAACCTCTCTCCATTTCATGTAGTTAATAAGATGGTCTAAATTAGTATATCAGAGAAGCTTATGGAAGACCTGTTTTACATATTCAGGTACCCAAGAGGAGGCTGCACATGCTTATGACATTGCAGCAATCGAATACAGAGGGATAAACGCAGTGACCAACTTCGACTTAAGCACATACATTAGGTGGCTAAGGCCTGGAGGCAACTCAGTTGCCCTTCAGGAACCAGTACAAAAGTTGGAGCCTCCGCTTGCCAACTCCTCGACTAATTTCATGTCGAGTCAGGAACCACCCGAGTTCACCTTCCGCTCCAGCCCTTACAAATTGGGAGACACAGGCAACAACATGCCCCGAAAACAGGAACTTTTGGAGACAAAGATGCCCATTAGTCCTTGCAACACGTCGGCTTCCCCAACTGCACTCGGACTCCTCCTCAGGTCTTCCATGTTTAGAGAACTGGTGGAGAAGAACTCGAATGTCATTGCTGACGATGACACTGACAACCAGAATAAGGCGAAGAAAGAGCCAGGGATAGGCGGCAGTGACGACTTGAGAGGGATGTTTTACAGCAATATTGGCAGTAATCCATATGGATGCTCTACTAGGAGTGAAACATTGCAGACTCAGGAGGCGGAGAACACATTGCCATTGTATAACAACAATAAAACAGGGCAGTCCCTGTGGAATGTTGCCTTTAATTTGCCTTCTAACTAGTGATTGTAATTGCTTCAAAAAGTTGATATGATTGGTACAGAAATCTGACTAAAAGTTTGTAGATGTGAACTAACCTGCCTTGAAGTGGACCTGGTCTGAAATAAACTGGTCTGCTGCAAACTTGCAGTTTGTTGTATTCCAAGAGGAGAGACTTCTTTCATTCTATAATAATACGGAGAGACATATTTCATTATACAATAATATGGCAAAATCTGTTATGTATATCTGTAAAAAGAGTCACATTCCAAGAAAGTTACGATTGGAGAATGGTGAAGCCTAGGAGATCAATATACTTTTTGGCATGAATGGCTCACATTTTTCACCAATCATAAAGTGTGTGAAGACCTTTTTAAAGTATTATGTGGTAAATTGTATATTTTTTAACATTCTATTTGGATGGAAAGGTTTGGTGAGAAAAGAAAAGAAATTATGCGCTGTTTGGGAAGCCCAAAATGAGGCTATTATAGCCTATTTTGAGAAATTAGCCCAAAAGCAACACTGTTGGAACCTTTTTTTAAAAAAAAAAAAAAAAAAATATTCTGCACAGCTGGCAGTGTAGGCACAGCCTACACTGTCAACTACAACACTTGTTCCATCAATAAATAAATTACCATTTTACCCCTTGATATCAATTTAAAAAAATATATTTTTAGGGATAAATTTGTCATTTTAAATTTAAACATCATTTCAACACACTTTCCAATACAACAACTCAACTAAAAATTCATCCCATCTTTCCAAACACAAAACTAAAATAGCCTACTAAAATAGCCAAAAAGCCAAATAGCCTATTAAAATAACCACTTCCCAAACGAGGCCATGACATAGAGTGGTTGGTAAGTTTTGGCATTGGGTATTTTTTGACATGATAGTTTTGTGTTGAATAGCAGCAGATAATTCGGATTTGATTCCCAAATCCGAGAAGTGGGAGTTAAAAGACGAGATCAAATGTGTGGTTGGAAAAGTATTCAACAGCTCCAGAATTGATGCATTACTAGTCCAATATTGGGCACCCATAACAACAGACGGCGAGGCTATTCTTACAACCCAAAACCAACCTTTCGCTCTTAGTAAAATATATAAAGGACTTTGTTGGTATAGGATGATCTCTAAAGACTATAAATTTTACGTGGATGGGGAGACTACTGAACAACAACTTGGGCTTCCTGGCCGTGTATTCAAGCATCAATTGGTTGAGTCCTCTCCGAATGTGGAGTATTACTCTAACAAAGAGTATCCACAGCGCAAACATGCTTTACGTTGCGATTGTTGGGTATACCTCCTTATTGGAGTGTGGGACCCAATTGATTTGTTAAAGAGTTTCAATTTGGCTTGGTTTAGGTATAATATATTTTTATATATTATATTTAAGGAGACCCAATCTAATTTGGTAACAATTAAGTTTGATTACAAAACCCTAGATTCACAATATAATTTTTGGGTGTATTATTTTTCCCATGTGATAGATCTAGCGGCAGCAACAAATTTGTTACGGCAACTGTGCTTAGTGTATAACTCTAACTTGTTGGGTTTTTCAATTAAGTACTGATTGTTGCTCTGGGTTTTTGATTGGGTCAATCAAGTATTGATGCCTTGGTTTGGTGCTCTACTTTGAAGCGGTTGATTCGTTTTTCGGTGTTGATTTGGTTCGTTATTTTGGATCTTCTACAACTCTGGTTCTGAAGATTTTGGTTCTTCTATTTGGTGAGGTCTTTCCTCTTTGTTTATTTGTGATTATTTGGAATTCACCTAGGGTGATTTTGTGAGACCATTAGTGTCTCGTTTGTAATCGTTTGAAACTGATTTGGTTGATAGTGGAATCGGATTTCGATCCCGTGGACGTACCTCACATTGAGGGAACCACGTAAAATTCTTGTGTTGCCTTTGATTTAATTTTTCCGCATTAATTTTTATTCCCATTAATTGATTTACTTGTGGGGAATCACATCGATTTTCCCTAACATGTAAAACTAACATAAGATTAATATGGTGTGGGTCTTACACATGACATTTGACAATAGAAATTTTGATAAATCTCTTAAAGTTTTCATAAATTAATTCAAAATAATTTGTATTTAAAAAATCTGTTAGAAATTGGCATGAATTTGGTAAATAATTCTCACGTTAGGTAACAAAATCCAATTTTAAGTTGCTATAACCAGCAAAAATTACAAAAGTCCCAACCAAATTTTTTTTCATAAAATGCTAGGCTCTGTTTGGATGTGATTATTAAAACTGTGAGATGGAGTATTAGGTTGGTGATGTAAAATATTAGTTGGTAAATTATTTATTTGAATTTTTTACTTTAAAAATGTATAATATAAATTCAACATTAATGTAATGCGGGACATACTTAGAATGAATGAGATCTATAAATATATATATTTTTTTGATTTGGTCTTTAAGAGCGAAACATTTTTTAAAATCAAATTTAGAATTCATCATATTTAAATTTGATGAAAATTTAAAAACATATCGAAGATAACTTTTTTTTTTCATGAAATTTGATGAAAAGAAAATTTTGGGATATGACCAGGATTTTTAAAAATATTTTTATGAAAATTTGATGAAAGGATTAAAGTAATTGATATCAATCAAATGTTTTATTCAAATCTATAATCAAATTAAATCAGGAAAAAAATAAAGAGTTGGGATACTCTAAAAATCTTTAATCTGGATTGTTCACAATGGAGCTTAGTGCTTTTGCTTCTGCTTTTGTTTCACCCCTGCAGATTCTCATTGTTGTTGTTCGTTGATTGTATGTGTGCCATAGGTGAAGGAGGTGTTTATCTCCTCTTTCACAATATTGATTGTGATATCTAACTCTGTATTTTGTTTCAATAAATTTGATTGTTGTCTGTGTAAATATTAAATCAAAATTGAAATTTTGTGGAATGATTCTGCCAACTTATGCAAGGAACTGCACATTGATGCCTTGCTAAAAAGGCCTCTTTCATTGCTCTTTTCTACAACAGGTTTTGGCTGAAGCAAGTTACTGTTGTACCAACCCACATGCATGAAAAACGTGGAAAGGCAACCAACCAAGTCAAGCTTGGCAGCCACCAACCCACATGCATGAAAAACGTGGGAAGGCAACCAACGAAGTCACGCTTGGCAGCCACCAACCATAGCAAGGGTCAAGAATGGAGGCTACCCAAGTCAAGAATGAAGGCTCTCCCACCTACTCCTTTTGTGTATAAATAGAGACGGGAGGGAGAGGATGTTTTATATCAGAAATTGAAGAGTGAGAGCCGTGAGTTGAGTGAGTTTCATCTCCTCCTCTCTATTTGTATTTTGCTCCATTTTAGTGAAAATTCTCATTTCTGTCCGTGGATGTAGGCATTGGCCCGAACCACGTAAATATTGTGTTCTCTATGTGTGTGAGATAATTTTTTCTGGGTGTCTTTGATTCTAACAAAGTGGTATCAGAGCTGGTTGAGTCTCTTTCGAAAAAACAGAGTGCATTTTTCGAAAATGCCCAGAAATCAAAGTGGTCGAAATCCACTTTTGATCACACCAGCTTAAAGCCCTCGACAAGACGATCCGTGGCTGACACGTGGCTGACACGTGGCTGACACGTGGCTGACACGTGGCCTGACTGTCGGACGCGTGGCGATGACGTGGCGGATGACGTGGCGATGACGCGGCACTGACGTGGCGCCACGTGGCTCGTCTTCTCCCTGGAGACGCGCGTGTGGCGCGTGGATGAGACTGGGATCACGCGCCGGTTGCCTGAACGGCGCGTGGTGGCGCGTGGTGCGACTGGGGCTGACGCGCTTTGTTCAGAGAGCGCGTGAGGGCGCGTGTGGAGGCTTCTGGCCTCTGTTTTTGCTGTTCTGGACTCCTCTCTGGGAGTTCTTCCTCCTGGTATGGTCAAAAGTGGATTTTGAGCACTTCAAAATCTGGACACTTTCGGGAAAATTTGATTTTTTCGCAACCCGAGCTTTGATACCAATTGTTGAGGATCGGGGGCACACCAGGGAACTCAAACAAGCAATAACACACAAGTTTTAACGTGGTTCGGCAAGTCGCCTACGTCCACGGGCAGCGGATTCACTATATTGAACAAAATGGTGAATTACAACACTCTCTGTAATTCTCTCTCTTTGCTCTCAACTCACACCTCTCAGCTCCACATCTGATATCTATATCCTCTCCCTCCCGTCTCTATTTATACACAAAGGAGTAGGTGGGAGAGCCCTCATTCTTTGACTTTTGACATGGTTGGTGGCCTTCCATTGTTGACATGAGGATCACCCCTTTCACATGGGGTGACCTCCAGAATCTGTAGCCAATTCAACACTTTAAACACTTTGTAACCTCAACGTTTGGTATTGTATATTGTAACTAGTTTTTTGTTTTTGAAAACTTGTTTGGCAAAGATGCATTTTGTGTTTTAACACTGTTTTCTTTTCTCATTTTCTCAATTGCAACTGCTTAAATTTATTTTTATTGCTGGAATTTTGCCCAACAACATACAGAAAGACAAAGAGAATGATGTTATGAGCAAACCAACACAACATTGTGCATTATTTCCAAGCTCTGTTACGTTTCTTTGATGCTTCATATTTATATTCTTCATAATTATATTGCGGAGTTTGGGAGGTATCATATACTTGTTCATCATTCACTTGCAACGAGGTTTTTAGGGAAATTTTACTATACAAGGGGTGTAGCATATAGTTATATTCAATGTGTTTGGTTTCAGTTTTCTGAATTTAATTTTTCTAAAAATTGAGTTTTTTTTTGTTTTTTTTAATATTTTTAATATTTTAAGTATTTTGTTTACTTTTTTAAATGTACCTTACTTAGATGTATCTAAAAAATAAAATATTGATAAAAAAAATATTTAAAAAAACTAATAAAAATACAAAAATATAAAAAATATACTGAATTTTTGTATTTTTTTTATATTTTTGGTATTTAGTGAATTTTTTAAAGATTTTTTTCACAAAAATTATATTTTTTAAGTGTATTTATGTTAGGTGTGTCTAAAAATTAAAATAATTACTTAAAATATTAAAAAAATTCAGTAAAAACAAAAAATTGCGGAAAACAAGAAAGTAGAATTTTCTGAAAAATATTTTCAAAAAACTTGAAACAAACAAGGTGATTATTTATTTATTTTTCATGATCAATTTTTTTATTCGGTTATGATATTATTTTAGTTATGACTTGTGAGATCTTTAA